TGAACCAATTAATGTGCTTGTTAATACTGTAAATTCGGTATCTGAAAGTTGTGATTTGTGACATAAGAGATTAGGACATTTAAGTAATAAAGGCTTAGAATTTTTACATAAAAATGGATATTTTGGAAATGTCAAATTTAATCATGTGTCCTTTTGTGATAATTGTGTTTATGGTAAACACCGTAAAATCCAATTTCCCCATCCCCTAGTGAAAAACAAAATTTGTCTAAATCTGTTTTGGATTATTTACATGCTGATGTGTGAGGCCCAACTAGTGAGCTCACACATAGAAGGTCTAGATATTTTCTTATCTATTATTGATGATTTTTCAAGAAAAACGTGGATATTTCAAATGAAAAATAAATCTGATGCGTTTGAGATTTTCAAAAACTGAAAAATTAAAATTGAAAATCAAATTGGAAAAAAAATTAAATATTTAAGAACTGATAAAGATTTAGAATTTTGTAACTCTTGATTTGATGATTTTTGTCAAGAAAGTTGCATAAATAGACATAAGACTCTCCCCTATACACCCCACCAGAATGGGGTGGCTGAGAGGATGAATCGGACCATTTTGAAAAGGGTTAGAAACCTTTTGGCTACCTTCGATTTGTCTAAAAAATTTTGGGGCGAAGCTGTTATGGCTGCATCTTACATAGTCAATAGATCATCTACAATTCCTTTGAATGGCGTTTGTCCTGAATTTAGGTGGACTAGTAGGATAATTGATTTTTCAAATATTCAGGTATTTGGATGTTGTGCTTTTATATGTGTTAATAATGACAAATTAAACACTAGAGCTGAAAATTGTGTTTTCTTGGGTTACCCGGAGGGAGTTAAGGATTATATATTGTGATCAAGATCTATGTCTAGTTTTAAAACTGTTATTAGTAGAGATATTATTTCAATGAAAATGAAATACCCTGTTTAAATACTGAAAAATCTGTTTTGGATAAATATGAAATTAATGTTGAAATTTTAGACTCTAGTAATATTCCAAATAAGGCGGAGCATAATATTGTTAGTATAGGAGAGGATGAAAATACTGAAAATAATGTTGAAATTCGTGTAGAATCTGATGTAAGAAAGGAAAATATTTCTAAAATTGATAATAATATTTCTGAAATTGAAAATGAATCTGATTTTGATAATATTAATCAAAATGAGTTAGAAAATTACCAATTAACTAGAGATAGAGATAGAAGAGTCCCTAGGTTGCATTCAAGGTTTGGTGATTTTGATTTGTCCTTTTTGGGTTTTAGTGTGTTTGAAAATTTAGATGGTAATGAACCCAAAACATTTAGGGAGATTATGAATTCTGAAAATACAAATCAGTTGTTAAAAACCATTAAAAATGAAATAGATTTATTGTATGATAATAAAACTTGGTGTTTAGTCTCTAAACCTTCTAATTGTTTTACTTGTTGATTGTAAATGGTTTTATAAAGTTAAATAAGAAGATAATGAAATTAGCTTTAAGGCAAGATTAGTAGCTAAGTGTTTTACCCAAAAAGAAGGAATAGACTATAATGAGATTTTTGCTCATGTTGTCAAATTTACCACTGTTAGAGTCATGTTAGCATTAGTTGTTTTTTATGATTGGAAGTTAAAATAATTAGATGTTAAAACAACTTTTTTAAATAGTGTGTTAAATGAGAAAATTTATATGAAACAACCTAAAGATTTTGTTGATAAAAACAAAATGAATCATGTTTGTTTGTTAAATAAATCATTGTATGGTTCAAAATAGTCACAAAGACAATGAAATATTAAATTTGATACTTTTATGAAAACCCTTGAATTTACTAAAAGGAAATTTGATTATTAATTGTATTTTAAAATGGATAGAAACCAACATGTCTTTTTTTTCATTTATGTTGATTATTAGTCAATGTTTAAACTAATTGATCAAGTGACTAAATGTTTGTGTGATAATTTTGACATTGAAATTGTTGGGTGTTGCCAAAGTGATTTTAGACATGAGTATCACTAGGATCGAAAAAATTTAAGGTTGTTGAACCAGTCAGCCTAGTTTTCTATAAGTGATGCTAAATCAATTTTTGTTCATATGACTTCTAATTTTGTGTTAAGTATGGATCAATGTCCTAAGTCAGAATCTGATTGTGAATATATGAAACATGTGATATATTGTAATGCAATAGGTTTCATAATATACATAATGGTTAGTACTAGGTCAGATTTAGCCTATGCAATTAATTAGTTAAATAAGTATATGTTGAACCTGGGTTTAGAGCATTGTCAAATATTTTAAAATTTTATTTTTAATTACGTTTAATTAGACCTGATAAAAATAAATATGATTTAAAAATATAAATGGTGCGTTTGACAATTAGCTGATAGCTTTTAGCTGTTAGTTAATTCAAATAACTGTTAATTGTTAGTTGATTCAATTAGCTGGTTTGACTAGCTGATTAAATTAGCGGTTTGTATTAAAGTGTTTAGTAAAATAATTGTGTAACATTAGTTGTTTATATGTAAAATGACAATTAAGGATATTTATACAATATTTTATAAAATTTTTAACTTCTTCATTTTGATTTAAAATTTTTGAATTTTTTTTATTAATTATTGCAAATTATAAAAATATTATAAAATATTTATTTTTATTTTTTAGATTTGAGAAAAATATTTTTATTAAAAGATATTAATTAATTTTTATTGAAATTGTATAAAATATAAGAGAATAAATCTTTCGTATATATTTTTATTATGTTAATTATTATTTATTAATTTATTCTATTTTATTTATTTTTAATATAAATTTTATATAATAAAAAAATATATAATTAATAATATTTGTCTTTTCTATTTGATTTAATTTTAATAAATTTATATATTTTATAAATAAAATAATTTATATGTAATAATTAATAATAATTATTATTTTAAATTTACAAAAATAAAATTATAGTTTAGTAAATAAAATATGTTAAAATTAATTAATAAATAATGCAATAAAAATATACTTATTATATGTATGAAATAAATAAATTGTTTTTAAGGATAAATAAGGAATAAAGATAATTAAAGTGAAAAAATCTTCCAAAATGTTGGGTAGATTAGTTTTTCAGAAATTAGCCTTTTGAGTTCAAAAAGTTTTTTCAAAAAAGCTAATTTACCAAACACCTAAATTAGTTTTTTAACCGGTTAAACAGCTCAAAGTTGTTTAATAAGTTAAAAACTCTTCAAAAGCTCTTTCTCAAACACCCCAAAAACTCAACTCGGATATGATATGAAAATTTAGATGTAGGCCAAACGTAGCTGAAATTTTTAGAAAATAAAAATAATTTAAAGTTTAATATTTTAGATATTCTATAATTAATAAATTTTAACGATGCATTTGGTTTTAGATTTTAATTTGCATAAATAAAAAAAATTAATTTGAATAATTTTTTGATTTAATATAAATATGTATTAATACGATACTTTCAACATTAAATTAATTTTTAATATAATATAAAAATAATAAATAGAAATTTAATTTAAAAATTTTTAGAAGAAAAAATCAGTAAATAGACTCGGGTGTGTTTGCTTAGATTTTGAATAATATATATATTTTAATTTAAATATGTTGTTTGATATAATATAAATATATATTGAGATGATATTTTGAATGTAAAATTGATTTTTAATTTTATATCAAAATAAAAAAAAGTAAGAGTTTAATGTGATAGTTTTAGAAGTAGAAAATTAAAGAATAAAATCTAAGGATATATTTTGTTGGAGGTTTAAATATTGGATTTGGATTTAAATTTGAATAGTAAGATTTTTTTAAAAAAAAAATTAAATATTTTTTATGTAAATAGTCATTGATGTGATATTTTTTATTTAAAATTAATTTTTAGTAGTATATAATATATATATATATATAAAATAAAAACTAAGATTTTGATTTAATATTTCTGAAGAAAAAAGTCGGTGCGTAAACTTAACAATGTGTTTGGTTTGGGTTTGGATTTCGGGTTTAAATATTGATAGTAAAATTTTTCAATTTGAATAATTATTAGATGGTATATGAATATTTATTAACGTGATATTTTGATATAAAAATATTTTTTAATATAATATAAAAAATAAAAAAATTAAAAGTTTAATTTGATATTTTTTGGAGAAATATTATGTGAATAAACTCTAACTATGTGTTTGGTTGGGTGTTTAAAGTATAAAATGTAAAATTATTTTTTAATATAATATAAAATTTCGACTTTTATTTGATATTTTTTAAAGAAAAAAAAATTGATGAATAGTAAAAATTTTGGGTAAATCCAATAAAACACATTTTTTTAAATTTATATTTTAAATAATAATCTGCTATAAGTAATTCAAATTATTTTTTTAAAAGAGATAGTATTATTACAAATAATTATATTAATTATTTGTCCAAATACATAATTTATTTATGCCAAAATATTTAATATGTATTTTTATTTATAAAATATTAAATAAATTAATATATTTTACTCTATTATAATTCTTATATCAATTAAATTAAACATACTTAACTTTTTAGAGCACCCGCTCTAGTTATGTCTTCTGTTTAATTATTTTTTTTTTATCTCTCTCATCTATATCATATTCATTTCAATATTCAAATTACTTTTTTTATCCTTCATTATAGTAATCATCTTCAACACATTACTTTTTTACTGTATTATAGACCTACAATAATTTATTTATTTATATATATTTTTATTACATAATATATATATATAAATTATTTATTTATTTATTTATACATATTTTTATATAAAATTATGTTTTAATTTGTAATATTAATCTATATAAATTTTAATATATTAAAACATATAATATACTATTTGAAAATTTGAAATTACTCTAAATAAATCAAACATATATATATTTATATATATTTATAGATAATTCTTATTAAATTTAAAATTTCAAAATTTGAAATTTCAAAAAAAATTTAAATAATATTTAATTATTTTTTTATTTTATTAAAGATAATCCATTTTTTATAAAGATAATAAATTTCTAATAATTGTATCTTTTTATTAAAGATAATGTGAAAGGTAACTAGTTTTTATACTTAAAACTACAAAGACAATTATAAAGATTTTAACAGTGGGGGGCATGCATGAAACGGAGGAAGTATAAGTTTGGTCTTTCGTGAGCCTTTTAATTATCCGGCCCATAAGTTTTTATCTGTTAGATCAAAGGTTTGTTTTTCCCATTAAACTATTTGGAATATTTATTATTATTATTGAGAATTGAATTTTACAAACGATGACAGCGAATTGGATTTTTGCAATCGATAGAGTTCCGGGCTTCAATTTGGTGGACGAGCAAAGCAATCCTGTTTCACGCATATGGCAACCCTCGGTTTTGCTTAAGATCTGTTGGTGTATTTTTTGGAACTGATGTTGAGTTTAGGGTTTGTATTTCTCCCGAAATGAATGTGATTCTGTTTCCGGTGTTAATTTATGTGAAGTTCAGTATTGAGATCGTTTATTTTGGTATTGTTGTTTTCCCGATTATGTTTTTTAATTCGGTAGTATATGATATGAATATCTGTTTGGATTTATTTGTCTGTGGTTTATATGTGATTAGTTGGTTCGATGTTTGAATTTGTATTGTAGTATTCAGATTTGAGTTAGAGATGTATGTGTGTATGTTGTTTGGGGGATTTATAATAATACCATTTGTGTTTTTTCCTACATACATGATTTCATTTTTCTGATTTGTGTGACTTTTGCAAATCAAAACCTTTTGATTTGTATACCTGAATGTTATGCCATTGGAATTCGACTGATGGTTTGGAGTTTTGAGTGATTCTCTGAGTTGGATGTGTATGCTGCCTCAATATTGTTTTGAAATAGTGTGAGGTGGTTTTGTGTGGACGGACTGTAACAGAGATAAGGCTTTGAGAGCGAAAGAAATTTCCGAAAGGAAGTTTCTGGAAAAGGACATCAAGGGCCCGAAGAAATTTGCTCTCAAGGCGCAAAATTTGTATCCCGAGCCAGAGGGTATATCTCAATAGGTGGCAAATTTTGAGGTGTATACGTGCATATGGATAATCAAATTGGTACGTTGTGCTCGGCATGTCTTCTTTAGAAGATGAGGGGACTATATGGAAACAATACATGAAACTGGCTCTCATGTTTCATCTTGATAAAAATAGATCTGTTGGGGCTGAAGGGGGCATTCAAACTAGTCTCGCAAGCATGGAGCCTACTGTCGGATAAGTCCAAGAGAATAGTGTATGACAAGAGATGTGCAAACAAGAATAAGGCGAAGACCGGGACTCATTCTCAACAGCCAGAACCGTCATCACAAAGTGGATTCTATGATTTTGCAAACTCTGCAACTTCACATATGAAAACTAATAGGAGTAGTAGTAAGAAGAATTCTTCCTCTGCTGCCCATTCATCGTGTAAGAAAGAGCGAAGTACTTTTGGACGGTATGCTATTGGTGCAAGATGCAATAAGAATACCTCAGAGTGTATCTCAATCACAAATCTTTTATGCCCAAATTTCAAGGGAGCCTACTTTGCGATTGAAATTAATCCTCCATCAGCTAAAGGTACAAAGGTATCAACCAAGTCGAAAATTCTCAGCAATGGAAGAATTTGAGCAAGAGATTTGATGCTACGAGAAACTCGGCTACTCCAACATAGAGTCCAATGCTAATGAGTTCTAGTGGGGTTCTTTCTCCAAATCAGATGGCACCAGATCTGCTGCTCAAGCTGCAAATATGGTTCAGCAGGCATACGATAAAATCAAACAAGAAAGGATAAAAGCACATGCCGTTGCAAGAAAAGAGACAATATTACAAAAGAAAGCTCTCGGGTCCAAAAGATACTCACCTAGGATAATTATTATTTTATTTCTTATTATTTTATTTACTGTTTAATTCTTAATTATGAGTCTTGGGTTTGGCACATAAGTCCGTTCATATACTGGACACATCTACATATAGTTAGGTTAGACAGTCATTATTTTAGATTTTAATTACAGAACGGATTGATTTTTCTCTGTAGTTTTCTATCTTCATTGATTCGAATAAAGTTTTTTTTCAATTAACCCTAAGTCATAATAAGTTGTCATGAGTTGGGTAAGGTTAATGTCTTTATTAGAAGATGGAGAAACACCGTACTTTTATTATTAAATTTACTGTCTAATTCTTGATTATAAATCTTGGGTAGCCCATAAGTTTGTCTGTATATATATATATATATATATGGTGCATCTAGGTCATGTTAGACTAGACCGTCATTATTTTGGGTTTTAGTTACAAAACGAATTGGTTTTACTCTGTCGTTTTCTATTTCCATTGATTTCGGGTGTAGAATCTTCGAGGCAATACAATGTTGCCAAGAAAAGAAGAGGGGTCGATGATTGTGGAGCAAACAAAGAGTCTGTGAGTTAGCTAACTACAAAGGGTAACTCATCACTCTGTACTTAAACATGATCGCCTGCAGAAGTGTACAAGCATGCGTGATGGTGTATGTTATGTTGATTTTAAACAATTGTTGATGGTTAAAGATTGTGTTCAAATATTTAAAAATCTGAACGAGAGCACTTCAACTATTGCAAAAAAGAACGAAGCTTTTGAGAAGGTGGTGGCTATAGTGCTGAATGTAAAATTCAGCATTATGCTAAATAACACATTCTGTGCTACCTAACAGCACACGGTGTTTCCACGGACAGCACACAGTATACGTTAATATAATACAAATACAACACATGACTTAACAACACATAATTTAGTCTCACACAACACATACAATACTTAATTTTAACACATGATATACTCAGCATACGCTGTAATTATGAACAAACAACACATGTCTTTATTACATACACCATGTGATGTTTGTAATAAAATCATGTGCTATTTATGTATTTAAATTCAGCACCCTAACATTTTCCTTATGAGAAGGTACGTGAAAATATCAAAGAAGATGAAATGGTAGATAAGAAAAATGGAAGTATTGAGCATGGTCCTCCGAGTAAGCTTGATGATGGGTCTTCAGGCTGTTGTCGCGACACAAAGGTGGTCACAAAAATGTCTATAATGCCACGATTTCGGAGTGTATAAAATAGTATTATATAAAAAATAAATATTTTTATAATATTTTGAAATCAAGAAATTAATATTTTAAAATAAATTATATTCCTATTTTGTATATTAATTACAATTTTTTTTTAAAAAAATTATTAAAAAGATAAATATCGATAAAGATAAATATGAATTATAATATATAATAATATAATATATTATATAGATAATGTAGAATATTAATAATATATATATACATATTAGATTCACAAGAGGATGGATGACGATTATGATATAATAATAATATATATATAAATGTAAAGAAAGATGAAGAACAACCCAACCAACAAGAGAAAAGAATAAACGAATAGAAACCAGAATATTCTGGGTGTTTTCTGTTATTAAGTAAAATGAATAGATTGTACATATATATATATTACAAGAGAAAGAAGAAAGCGTAATTACACTTTCTTGAATTAAATAAAAAACAAGTAACAACTTTAAAATGCAGCTGTCATTCTCTGTTAATAGCCAATGTCTCATGTATCTGTAGTATTACTTGCCTTTACATCCCTCTGCAAGCGAAACCCTCCAAATTGAGCTTGCCACAATGCCGGAGAAAAAGAGGCGCGCACAAGCTTTTTGTGAAGATATCAGCAACCTGTACAGTAGTGCCAATAGAAGTAGGGAGAAGGAAACCTGATTGATAGTGCTTACGGATAAAATAACAAGAGATGTGAATGTGTTTTGTCCGCTCATGGTGAATCGGGTTGCAAACCAACGTTATGGCAGATTCATTGTCACAGTACAAAGGAATGGGACGAGGAACCGATACACGAAGCGACTCAAGAACATAATGGATCCAAAGGAGTTCCGAGATTGCCACAACAATGTTGCGATACTCTGCCTCGGTAGATGATTTAGACACAGCCTGCTGCTTTTTAGTTTTCCATGCAATCCAGGTACCACCAAAAAACACACAGTATCCACTTAACGAACGACGAGTATCAAGACAATTCCCCCAATCTGAGTCACAGTAACCAGTAAGCTCCAAGGGACTGCGGGTTGGAAAGAAAAGACCAAGCGACGAGGTGTTGCGCAAGTACTGAAGGATGTGAGTGGCAGCGAGCCAATGGTCTTCTGTCGGGGCATGCATAAATTGACTGAGTTGTTGCACTGCAAAACTTAAATCCGTGCGAGAAAATCCAAGATAAATCAATTTTCCAACCAGTTTTCGAAAGAGATGTGGCTGGCTAAAGAGAACGCTATCGCGGTGCAGCGGCTTTATAGTGCCAAGAGGAGTATGAGCACGAAAATTTTGAGACACCTGAAATTCTTCGAGGAGATCATTAGTGAATTTGGATTGAGAAACACGAATTCCATCATTACCTCGTCGTAATTCAAGACCCAAGTAATAGGAAGCAGCTCCAAGATCCTTTATGGTAAATTGTTCATGCAGTGTCTGCTTTATTTCGACAATTCTGTGTTCATCTTTCCCTGCAATTAGAATGTCATCAACATAAACTACCAAGATAACTGGACCTAAACCAGTGAACTCCACAAAGAGACAATGATCGAATGGAAGTTGTTGTAATCCCAAGGATAGAAAAAAGGCAGTGAAGGTAGTATTCTACTGCCTCGGGGCCTGCTTGAGGCCATAAATAGACTTGTTAAGTCTACAAACCCGATCTAAAGGTGTTTGCAATCCAGGTGGATAGACCATGTAAATTTCTTTAGTGATATCCCCATGAAGAAAAACATTATTCACATCTAATTGATGCAAGTGCCATTGTATGGAGGCAGCCAATGCAAGAACTAATCGGACTGAGATCTGTTTTGCTACAGGAGCAAAAGATTCATGATAATCTTCTCCAAACTTTTGATGATACCCCATTGGCTACAAGACGAGCTTTTTACTTGAGAATGGAGCCATCGGGATTATATTTCACCCAGAAAACCCATCGGCACCCAATAGGTTTCTTCAAAATGAGGCAAAGTGACTAAATCCCACGTACCATTCCGGGCCATAGCATCAAGTTCCTCAGCCATGGCTGAATTCCAAGCCTGTGATTGACTAGCTTCTCCAAAGGAAGCAGGCAGCTGCACTTCTTGAGTTGTGCAGATAAAATCCCGAAATCTAGCAGGCATTTTTCTTAATTTCTACGGTCTGGTGGGCAATGACACAGGGGAGATGGAAATATAAGTGGAATGAGTTGAAGTAGAGGCTGGAAAAGAAATAGATGGAAAGGATTGGGGCGAAGGATCAGAGACATGAGAAGAATTTGAAGCTAAGTCAAAGACAATAGATTTGGGTAAGGCAGAGGGACAGTCATTAATATCAATATTGGGTGAAATTATTGGCTCTAAAACATAAGTAGAAGGAGTAAGGGGGCAGACATTGGACGAAAAAGGAAGTATGGAGTCATAGAACACCACATCTCTAGTTATATGGATCTTATTACTAGAGCAATCCAGGACTTTGTAACCTTTGTATGTCCCACTGTATCCCAGAAAAACACCTTTCAACCCTCTAGGATCTAGTTTACCCTACTGAAATTTAGGAGCTTTCATGAAACACAAACAGCCAAAGACATGCAGTCTATCAAAATCTGGTTTAGTGTTATATAAAATCTCATATGGAGTTTTCCAATTGAGTATAGGAGTGGGCAGTCTATTAATCAAATACACAACTGTAAGAACAGCCTCATTCCAATAAAATTTGGATAAACCTGAATGAAAAAGCAGACACCTAGCAACCTGAGTGATATGTTTGTGTTTTCTCTCGACTCTCCCATTTTGTTGAGGTGTATAAACGCAACTCCTTTGATGCACTACCCCAAGCTGAGCAAATAATTCTTCACAAGCAGTGTTACAAAATTCAGATCCATTATCACTACGAATAACTTTCACTGATTTTGAAAACTGAGTATTAACTAAATCAGAAACTTAGACAACAGATTTGCTACTTCACTTTTGTGCTTTAACAAGTATAGCCAAGTAGCTCCAGAACAGTCATCAACTATAGTAAACATATAACTATTATTTGTGGTGCAAGGATGCAAGAAAGGACCCTATAGATCAACGTGAATAAGATCAAAAGTATTAGTGGCATGAGAAACACTTTTATTGAAGCAAAGTTTGTGAAATTTGAAGTAGAACAGACAATACAATGTGAGGAATGAAAAACAGTAAGTTCCATAGGTAAGTGTTTCATAACATTCCAAGATAGATGGCCTAATTTCTCATGCCATAATAAGGTATGAAATAAAGGATCAGAGTAAGCAGTGGAACATAGAACCTGGGATGATAAGCTCGAGTAAAAAATATAGAGATTATGATGAAGCTTGGCATGTAAGAGAGTCGAGTTAGTCCTCAGGTCCTACAAGTCACAGCAAGAGGCATCAAACTTAGCAAGGCAACCTAAATCAGCAACCAGTTTGCTAATAGACACAAGGTTCAGGACAAAACCAGGAATGTAAAGTACATTTTATGTATAGTAATAGAGGAATTTAGAATAACAGATCCGGAATAAGTAGGAGATTTAGTGGTTCCATCGGGAAGATGAATATTAGTGGATGAAAATATAGGCTTAGGATCAACAAGCAAGGAAATAGATGAGCACAAATGGCTGGAAGCCCCTGTGTCAAGGATCCACACACCGAGAGATGTTCCAAAAAATGAAGAGTTACCTAAGCAGCCATAAACTCCTGCTACATAGTCAACTGGAGAAAGAGCAGATGTCTGCATTAACCTTTTGAATATATCTTCAATCTCAGATTTGGTGACAAAAGATTAAGGCTCTTCACATTTGATCTCTTTTTTAGAAGTTGAATTGACCACTACAGCAACAACACTTTTCCCTTTTTTCTTATCGATGAACTCTTTATACCAATCCAGCTCACTATGAAGTTTGAAACAAGTTTCCTTGGTGTGTCCAGGCCTTTTGCAATAAGCACAGATGCCATTGGAAGGTTTCTTCTTAAATAACTTCTGAGATGTTGGGTGAAAAGGCATAACAGCAGCAGACATAGCTAAATCAGGAGTGACGGAATTAGACAGAAGAACACCACGCTGTGACTCTATGTTGCACAACATTCCATAAGCAACACTCACAGAGGGCAGAGGATCAATCATGAGAATTTGATTGCAGACATGTTCATAAGAAGGATTCAACCCCATTAATAATTGAACCAATAGCATCCGCTCATCTTCAATTCTCAATAGTTGCAACACAGATTTATCACAATCAGGAAAAGGTTGCAAAGCACGAAAGTCACTCCAAAGAGATTTCAATGAACCAAAATACTTAGTGATAGTGTTGTTACCTTGGGAGAGATTAACAATCTTCCTCTTAAGCATAAGAAGTTGAGGTCCACTTATACAACCGAACCGATCTTCAAGTTCGAGCCATAAATCATGAGCCGAGGGAGTGTGAACAAAGGATTTGGCAATTTCAGGCGCAATAGAATTCTTAAGCCACATGAGAACCAAATTATCAGCTCTACGCCAATACCTGTATTCTGGATCAGTCACCAACGGTGGAGTAATAATACCATCGATAAATCCTTCCTTAAATTTGCAGCTTAACGCAGCCTTTACTGCAACCTTCCAAGCGATCCAGTTGGAAGAACTCAACTGAATAGTGATGAGAGCTAACCCTAGGTGGTCACCAGAGAAAATCAAAAATTTCTCACGAATAGGAGAGTTACTAGTTTGTTGAACTGTAGAATTAGCAGACATGGCAGCTTGATTGTGGAGTTCAGATGTCATAGAAAAGAGAGCTAGAGGAGAACCTGCTCTGATACCATGAAGAACAACCCAACCAACAAGAGAAAAGAAGAAACGAATAGAGACGAGAATATTCTGGGTGTTTTCTGTTATTAAGTAAAATGAATAGATTGTACAGATATATATATTACAAGAGAAAAAAGAAAGCATAATGACACTTTCTGGAATTAAATAAAAAACAAGTAACAACTTTAAAATGCAGCTGTCATTCTCTGTTAGTAGTCAATGCCTCATGTATCTCTAGTATTACTTGCCTTTACAAAAGAAAGCAAATCAAATCCATCCATCGAAGGAAAGGAAAGAAACACCGGGGGAAGAAAAGGAGAAGAATAGAAAAATAGAAAAAAAAAAATTAGCTGTTTGATTTCAATTTCGACTTTGGTATTATCCATCTATAAAATAATTATATATTTATTTATGATGTATTTTATTCTCAATTATTTTTGTTATTTTATTTTAATAATCATAATCTATATATGTTTAAATAAATAAAATAAAAAATATGATATATATATATATATTCTACACATGGTTTCAAATAAATACATTGTAAAATTAAATAGAAAAGATCATTAATAAAGAATCAAGAATTTAAAATATTTTTTTTAAAATTAATGTCGCTTTGTTATCTTATATAATTAATTCTTTTACATTACAAAAAAATTAGAAACCAACAAATATATTTATACAAAAATTAATTGAGACATACATTTCGAACAAAATAAAAATAAAAATTTCTTATATCTTATATGTACCAAGAAATACGAAAAAATATTATAAAATAATTTAAAAAAGTACAGAGCTTATATTCTACAATTGCATTAGGAGATATATTAGTATTCTTTACATAAATTGTAAAATATTTTTTTGTTTACTATGTTAATTGGCTATTATTTTAATAATACTGTCATAAAGAGTCAAATAAATAAATAAATAAAAGTGAAAGATCATATGTATTAATTATTCTTATTTTGTATTATTTAAATAATAGTCAATAAAAAATTTAATGACCGAAAGAACCTATAGAATAAAACAAAAATTGATTTTTCACATAAAAAAAAGGTTTTTAGAAAAATAAAAGCAATCAAAAAAAATCTCTATGATTAATTGTACTATAATAATATACTTCAAATAAATTTAATATTGTTATATAAAATAAATTTAATATTGGGTATATAATAAAATTAATAAAGCTAATAATGTTGAATGAAATATTTATAACAAAATAAATAATTATATTAATATAACTTTTTGGAAAAGGGTGAACAAAAAAAAATAGATTATTGGATTAAGGGTATTAACGTAATTTGATGTAACCATAAAATTATATATGCCTTTAAGGCATATATATGTTATAGAATATAAAATTAATTTATTCACAAAAGTGTAAGAAAAGATTATATATTTATATACTCCCTCTCTCCACCGTCAATTTATTTATTTTGCTATTTTAGTTTGTCCATCGTAAATGTATCCATTTTCTTTTTTAGTAAATGTATCTTCCACTAAAATATAAAATTATCACACCCTTTATACAATATTACACAAATGTCATCAAATAACACCATTTAATACCATAAATATTAAGGGGTAAAATAGTCTTTATGTATATAAATTGTACCACATATCAATATAATACTAATATACTAAAATATACGTGTAAAAAGTAAACGGATAGATAGGCGGTGGACGGAGGGAGTATATTGTTTATGTAAACAAAATTTGTTCATATGATATGCATATTCATTGATACCTGACCAAGCATACATACCCTATTATTTAAAGCTATATAAAGATAAACATTGGGTCTGTTCGTCCACCCAAGTTTTGACATTACGATTCCCAAAAAATAATATTTTATATTTTTTATACAATTTTTTATATCACACATCAAAATAAATTTAAAATTAAGTTAGATACTTATTATAAAAAGTCAAAAATATCGAATATTTAATTTAAAATAATATATTTTATATTTTTAATACAATTATCCGTACAATACACTAAAAATCAATTCATCTAAAAATATCGGCGAGCAGAAATATTATTTTTAATTGTATTCCACTATAATAATTAAAGAATGCCTCAAGTAATTATGTGAATTTCATACCATGAGACGAACCATTACGATGTTGGGTATTAATGCTTGATATTGGAGTAAATATGTTATTCTATAATATTAAAAGTTTACAAATTAACCAAGAAGAATCATAAAAGATCAATATTAGATAAACAAATAATAAGATATAAACCTTTTGTTTTGGTATTTGATCATCTTGTAATGTAATGTTGCATTTTTCAACATTTGTTTCATTGATAATTGACTGAAAATACAAATAATAGTGTTATATTCAAGCAGC